CACCACATGCATGTCTCTCGTTGTAATCCGAGAAATATACCATTATTATTATTATTATTCTGCATGTTTTGCGAATAACCTCTTTTTGCAGATACGGGTCCAAAAAGGGAGGCTGTTCTGGACGAAGAAAACACGCTGTGGTCAAACGGTCGACAACCCTTCCAGAAAAAAGTGAACGTAACGCACAAACTTTTTCCTCCCGCCTCGCGTACTTTGCACGCCAACGTTCACCAATGAAACGCAAATTTGCAACAGACACTTTACGCGGTTTTCTGTCACCGGGGAAACGAACTTCTTTTGTCCATTCATTTCTTCTTCCATTTTTTCACTCCCCACTTTACTCATAATGCACCTACCTCGCTTATTTCTGATCGACGTATGCCCTAAACCTCCCACTTAACTGCAGCGCCTACATTTAAACGTTTTGGTTTGGTTCCATTGATTTATCGTTCGACTACTCAAGGTGTATCCCACACCAATATATATCGTCGAGTAAAAGGCCCAAGAATGTAGTACGAAAAATGCATTTACAGGAACATAATAGATGTACAACAATAAAAGTTTCTATTTATCAATGCTTGTGAATGAACTTCTTTCACATACGGGTTCCTTTTTGATAATTATATTATCTGAACCGAAGACGATAAATAGCATCTGCAGAATGAAAATATAAAAGAATAATAGTATAAATCAGGGAACTCACAAAATAATTATAATGCAAAGTACAGTTGAACTCAATAATCGATTCATGTATATTGTGTTCGCATAAACGATACATTGAAAATACGTGATAGCTGCACAAAATATTATAAGAAAAATAAAAGAAAATAAGCTGGCAAATGTAAATGAAACGCACAATGAAGGAATCTTTATGAGATGTAAGCATATCAGAGGTCATCAGCATTTCCACTTACCCATGATTGTGTCTGTTATACTTGATGTGGTCAGAGCGCGCTTTTCCTGGATGCCATTCCAATTCAATTTTTAGCTTAGCTGTGGGGTGAACACGCGTCTGACTAGCAGACGTATCGACTCCCGAATTGTGTTACCCCCACTGGCGACGAGATAATTCACCTGTAACGATAAAATCCATAGCAAGTTACATTATTCGATAAACGTATGGTCAAAAAATTGCACAGAAACTTGCGAATTTCCAGTAGATGTCTTTGTCTTTATCTCGTCTGACATTGCATCAAAGTCTTCTTCGTTTTCGATGTGTAGGCGAATACTGCCTGGCAAAGTGTTCGACTACAGTGTCGCATGCACTTGTGCTCGCAGTTCGTTATTGATCCGGGTCTGTCGTTCTACAGTTTGTTCTAATCTATCCAACTTTCCAACTGTAAATTCAGACAAAGGAAAATAATTTAATAGTATTCACTTACGGACCAACCCCAGATCGCTTTCGTAGTCCAGAAAAGGAGGTATTGTGAGTTCTCCTGCATTAATTAATGGAATAACTGTTAAGTTTACTCACCTTTCATGTTGGATAACGATCCATGTAGAATGCGACGATAAAAGAGATTTATTTGAGTCAACAACCTCAATTAGTGAGCTAATTTTTATAAGCATAAATAATGAATATCTCACCTTGAGGCATGACAGGGTAAACCCAATGTACTTGGCATGAGATCTGAGGCGCACTGGAGAAAGCATTTCTCAGATCGTTCACCAGAGGTGATAAAAAGTCCATTACGTTACGTGGTTTGCTGTATCCGCAATAAACAACAATGAGGAACACTGGGGTTTGAGGATTCTTGTTCCTTCCCAAGATGGGTCAGAGTTGTGGACGTGAACTTCGGAATAGACTCATTCCGTCAATGGCTAACTACAATTCTAATACGCAGTTAGAGTACAAACCTCTGTCTGACAATGCTCTCTCAACGGCCTCTCCTAAGCCTAAACGGACATACTCTCCACCCTGCATGCGAATTGCGTTAGAAAAACGGGTGTTTGTTGCAGGGTACGATAGTCCCTGGGTAACGGTGGATATTGTTCCCGTAGACAAAGGAGCATCTTGTAAGTTGTATTGGCTGTCGGCTTGCATTCCAATGCTATGAGTCAGCATGCCTCGAGAATGGTTCGAATATTGGATTTGTGTTCATCTGTTTCATCCATGAAAAATAAATGATAGACAATTATAGAAAAATCTTTTTCCGGAAAATTTGCGATCTCTTTTATATGGGAAGTTGACGGAAGGGAGTAAAAATCTGTGGATACTCACAGTAACAAACAACTCGGTATATTTACCTTTTTCATGTACAACTCCATTATCAGATGTTGACGCTGCTTTATTTTGATCACCGTGGCAATTGATTTCACGACCTGTACCAGGGTGAATTTTTTAAAACTATAAGATGGTTTATATTACATGCATCGGAAATTTCATCAGTGTAATTTACTCTCGCTATTATAATCAGGTTTTTCAGCAGTTGGGTCCATTTAACAATGCGCAAATTTTGCGATAAACAGTGTTTCTGCTGGTACCACAGAGCATGGGTCCAGAAGCGGCGGTTTGTGGAACGCAAATGAATATGGTGAACAACCAAACTGCGAGCAGAAGCAAAGGATCAATTAAAACAAAGCGGAAAGTTTAGTCGCTAAAGTGAAACTTCAATGAACTAATGTACCAATATCGAGAATGTACTAACTTATTATATAATTATGCACAACTGAAATGGAGAAAAGACAAGTTTTGAAAAAAACGCGAAATTCGGAGCGTTTTTAGAGCGAAAAGAGCTCCAGCGTGTTGACAGGGAAGAAGTCGAAGCTGCGGAAGAACGTTGGTTCCGGTTGGAGTAAGAATCTAAACGCTCAATTAGCGAACGCTTTTACTATCTTGTGCAACCTGACCAACTACAGGAAGACCTAACGAAGGTTATTTGTTGGACTCAGATGTGGGACCTAGACCTTGACCCATCAAAGTTTCACACATTGAACACTGATGGCGGTCCAAATAAAGTTCACACGGAGGCGGAAACCACCGAACTAACGCGCGTAGCCCAAACGAAGGACTTAAGGATAGTAGTCTTCGAAAATTACAAGCCAAGCAAACAGTGCAAAGCTGCAGCACAAAGGGCGAGGGATCAACCAGTTGAGAAATACACTGACCATTCGAAAAGCAGAAGTTTGTATTCCACTGTATAAGGCACTGGTGAGACTCCACCTAGAATACTGTGTCCAGGCCTGGGAACCCTACCTTCAGAAAGACATCCAGTGCACCGAGAAGGTTCAAAGGTAAGCCACTTGGATGCCCAGTCCGCACAGCCGTCCTATTCGAGTCCTATTTGAGTAATATCCGAGTCCCATGGGAGTCCCAATGGAGTTCGTTTGCACCCAAAACGGGACTTTAAAAAGACTCTCCTGTAATAATTGTTGTAGCAGTAGTTATATGCATGGACTTCGGAATACAAACCACGCAATATAAACCACAGGACCCGAATCAACAATCAGCCATCACGTACTGGATCACAGAAGCACTGGACTGCAATGCCACGGGTTCGCAATTTCCCACGAGAACGAGACGCGAGGAAAAGACCACAGGAGTGGTAGTATGTAGTATTTCATTTATTGGAAGAAATGAGGACGAATAAATAATGTGTGCAGAAGAAGAGTATTGGTTATCTAGGTCTACACCAATCGGATTGCATTACTGCTTGCATAATTCTGCTTCTGTCTGTACTGTCTTGGATTGTCTCGCACGATCCACCAATGACGTGTATTCAGAAGCCGTACGCGTGTCATTGACGTCAGCATTCAAACTTGATTGCTCGCAAATGTCCTGAAAGTATAACGCGCCGCTCCAGGGTAGACGTCATCACGTAGGCCTGGACCACCTGGATCTTCTCTCTCAAGAAAGCTCCGTCAAATTGGCTTGCTCTTGTGACTGTTCGTCGGAGGGCCAGTGGGGTATTCTCATCGGTGGACATTCCTGGAATAGGGGGTTGTTGCCTTTGATCTTTAGTAGATGTTGACGGCGTATCACAAGGCGGATGTTCTTGAATTTCTTCGACAAGGGCTTCTTTTGACGTGGAAGTTTCGTTGAAGTGAATTTGGTCTATGTGGCGTCGATTAACCGTCGCATTCCTCAGATCTGTGATCTCGACAATAGCTTGCCCAATCTTGCGGGTTTTAATTCCTCTTGATGGTCTCAAGTCGTTTCCTCGGAAGTATAAGACGTCACTCGAATCCATGCATTGCAGTGAGGACCGTAAGCTTCTGCCTTCAAAAAGTTTTGCTGGGCTCCCTTTGGCGGTAGTATGTGCAGCATTCCAGTATTGCATTGAGAAGTTGTTTAGGAGTATCTCCAACGCGAAGATTGTCCTTGGATTCGCAGAGCAAGCGGCAATCTTCACCGTTTTCACCAAATTTTCTGCTACGCCGTTCGAGCAGGGGTGACGTGGTCCTGTGCGTAGGTGTCGGCATCCAATACTGTCCAGCTACCTTTTCAACTCCGCCGCGCAGAATTGCGATCCATTGTCAGTCACCAATACTTGAGGAACACCCTCTCGACTGAAACACTTTCGTAGTACCCGCACCCCAAACGATGTATTTGGTTTGTTGGTTAGAAACACTTCAGGCCATTTTGAGTACGAATCGATGAGTACTAGTGCGTGATAATGGCTGAGAAATGGTCCGCAGAAGTCGGCGTGTACGCGTTGCTAAGGAATGCAGCTTTTTGTCCCTGATGTTCAGTTGTTCGGTTTCATCTAGGCCGCGCCACTAGCACAGCTGTCGAGCCAACGACTTCATCTTCTCCACCCCTAAGTGGCTCTTGTGCAGATTTTCTAGCACTGACTTTAGTAGTGGAGATGAGATAATCAGTCGATCGTTACGGCAGAGCATTCCATCAGGTTGTACGCCGATTACCGGAATGATTTCCGGATGATCTATGTACACACTTCACAGGCTCTTGTTCGTTGCCTAATGAAAACGTTGTTTGTAAATCTGATTTAACACGTCTTCGTATTGACTACCTAGAATAAACTCGGGGATTTAAATCTGACATGGCGGATAATGGCAAGCGCCACTGAACAAACGCATGTAAACTTAATTTATTTAAACAAACTGTGATCTGATTCACCCGGCATTAAAATACAAAATTTTAATGGTTTTTATCATTTATTTATCATTTCATCAAACTATTTGGCTTATTTTTCGTATTACGTAAAAGTAAGCATGTACCGTCCCGACGGGACTCAAATAGGACTTCAATGAAATCGTGGTTAACGGAAGAGTCCCAGCAGAACTCCAATGGGACTCAGATAAAACGGTCAACCATCCCTTTGGGCCGACAGGGTGGTCTCGGGCATGAGGTGCATTTTTATCATTATTATTATTATTACCCGCTCGGTATCTTTTTGGTCTCGCTCCGTGATTGGCTCTACTGTTTTTTGATCTGTAACTGGGACTTACGACGGTTTCGTGAGTCGCAACTATGTATAAACGTATGCCTTTAATAGAAACAAAATTTCACCTGTCGTTTTGAAATGTGTTATTATGGTGCTGCGTTTGTATTTTTACTGCTATTATTGTTTGTTCCTGTCAATATTGGATACATAGCATCATCCTTGATCACATATACAAACTTAAAGTCGCCATACACTACGTTTCATAGCTTGTTATCTTGTATCATCATCTCGCTGTCATACTATACTCATTTTGTAGTATTTCGACTCTTCCTGTGAAACCGATTGATAATCCATCAATTAGAAATACATTTATTGCATATTCGTAAGCGTTGTTCTACTCAGAATACAATTAAACGCACGACAGTTAACACCAATCGTTCTGCTAGACCGATGAAATAAAAACGTGACCAACCTGATTCAACCCTGAAACCGTTCTCGGTCACTATAACCGACTTATTTGGCAAAGCTAGAAAGAAAGCCGATACTGTTGATCTTAAGTTTCAGGAGATGGATTCCCAGTTATTGTCTCCGGGGTACCCCATTGTTAAACTTACGCCTATCGCACACATTACAGAACCATCCATGTGGTCATACAAACCTAGCCTACTCAGAGCCGGCACGTTCATTGACACCATTGCGGCTGAAATTCTTAGAAGTGAAAAGATTACATGTAATGCTGTTGTTTTTAACATAACCGACCGGTTGCCTATCATAACTGTCAAAAATACTATCCTTAAGGCCTGCAACATGGCGCACCACGTCTACCTCTGCACCCAGTTGGGCAAGAATACTCAGCGCAACCACTGTCCACTTTTATTTCAATTTTCCGACAAAATGGTTGCTTCCAAATTCGTGTCTCAGCAACTGATTATCTCGAATCACTCCCCCTACAAGCAAATTAAAATCTTTGCCGATAGAACCCCATTACAGAGACAGATCACTAGATCCGTGAAGAATAATCCACCATGTCTTAATGGCCCAATCCATCCCTCCCCTTTACCGGGCAGGCCAAATCACCCAATGCTCCTTGCGGATCCACCCAACTTGCCGACTCCACGGCAACCTCCTTGTAAACGCCCACATCTGGGTTTAGCCACCCCCTTTGTCGGTCAGATCACCAGGACGAACGACAAATTCTCCCGACTTAGTCTCTGTTCATCTAGACTCGCCAAAAAGGACAGCCGTCCGTCCTTTTACTCAACGCTCCCCCAACCCCGTCCTACCTCATCTCCCAAACCATCTTCTCGATATGCCTCCTCGCTTATCAATCGTCCAAATATACTAGCTCTCAGTCGACCCATTAATATATCACATCAACTGCATCAAACAAAATATTTCATTAGCGGGATTCCCACCCCACCATTAACAAACATCGACACCTGAAGGCCATTACATACCCTAAATCCTGGACCAATCACATTAATATCCCCTATCTCCCGCTCTCCTCCGTCTCTTTTCTTATTTTCCCACCACCGTCGCTCCCCTTCAATCACATACTCTCCAACCATACATAATCACCTTTCTCCCATCTACTGTCTTGTTCCTTACGGCATACTCGNCAGCCCCCCATCATAACCCGAAGTTATTTCGGCACCTTTCATTTGGGTGTCATCCCTATTGTCTCTTGTTCTTTTTTCTCTCGACGTAATGTGTATCTCGACCGTGTTCCCTGCCCCAAGATTTCTCCTGACACAGCTCTCAGTCTTCCGCTTCCCCACCCCTCTTCTTCGCGTAATAATCTGCGTGTTTTGCCCTTCAATAAATCGATCTCCTTCTCTCTACTACTACTAAATGCCCGCTCACTTCTGAACAACTTTCATACTCTTCGTAACATCCTTCAGTCCTCTGATTATGATATCATCTTTGTCACTGAAAAGTGGTTAATTGACTCAGTTCCGCAAGACCACGTCACAATTACGGGCTATCAGGCCTTTAGAAAGGACCGTCTCTGTTGAGGAGGAGGCTAGTTCTTGTTTAAAACAACCTAATAATCACTCCCATCTCTCACCCTTTACTTGATGTGGTCCCTGACTCCATCTGATTAACAATTATGTTCCCCAATCTTTTCCTTCACATTGGTTGTATATACCGGCCACCAGGCTCAATCACAGCTGATCTTATACAGATAATCGAAGTATTTGACTACTTATCTCTCTTACCGTCTTCTGACAAACTCATTGCAGCCGATTTTAACGCCCCTGATATTTGCTGGAAAACTGTATCTGCCCCTCTAAAATTACTAGACTTTATTTCTTGCATTATCGTTAGACGTTGGCTTCAACATGTATCGTCCCCAACAAGAAAAAACAATATTCTGTCCTTAATTTTTACCTTAAATGTACCTGAAACCAAAGAAGTACTCTCGGTTTGTTCCCCGGTAATGATCATCAAATGTTATCCCTTACATCCACAGCTCCCGTAGGTCACGCTGAAATAAGTTCCTCTGGAAAATCTCTGACGAACTTTCAATGGGAAGGCTTTGTACACATACTTCGGTCCCACGGTTGGGACGAATATTTCACGCAACATGATCCTCAACTATCCACTGATCTGCTTTACTCTAATCATCCAACCTGTCTCATGTCTATCATGATCACCCAAACCACATCCCGCTGGGTTCGTTTTTCTTCTCTCTAATGACTACAAAAGAAATACATAAAACTAAAAAAGATCCATTCAAAAACTAAGGATTTCTCAGTTTATTCGCAGCTTCACTACACTTCTGCAAGCATGGGGCTGAAAATGGGGTAAATCCTGTTTAAACTCCCTGCGCTAAATGGTTCAAATAAATCACTTCACATATCCCGGCTACTCAAAAAACGAACTCAGTATAAGACAGCCGGAATTCCATGCCTCATTACTGACGACAAATCCCATATCACTTCTCCCGACGAGATAGCTGCAGTACTTAACAGTATTTTCACCAAATCCATGACTACGGATACTGTCATAAACACCCCCAACATTCCACTTTACAATGAACACACTTTCTCTCGTCTGAATTTTACCCTTAATGAAGTGACTGAAGTACTTGCGAAGGTGAAACCATCCTCACGTCCTGAGCATGATGTCATTACACCATCGTTAGGGTGGAACTGATGTTACTGCTTCATTATTGAATTTATTCAGCCTGTCCTTGAATTTTGGCATCTTTCCATCTCAATAGAAGCCGACCCTTATTATCCCCATATATAAAAAGGGCCCACTTAGTGACCCTTCTAATTATTGCCCCATTAACCACACACATATTGCCTGTAGCATACTGCAACGTCTGGTTAGACAGCGCATGTCTGACTTCATACTTCCCCATAATCTTATACATGCTGGTCAGCATGAATTCTTAAAATCGCGATCATGCACGACTTGCCAATATGCCTTTTTTGACATGTTAACCATGACTGCCGATAACCGAAAGCCTGTATTTGTCATATATCTTTACGTGACCAAGGCCTTTGACCGTGTTTTCCATTCTCGTTTACTTGCAAAAATCAAGGTACACGGTTTCAATGGTCCTCTTTTATCTTGATTGACTTCTTATCTCTCGACTCGCACCCAGGCAATATCCGTCGACGGTCATCTATCACAACCCGTTTCTGTCACTAGTGGTGCCATACAGGGAAGTCCCCTACATTTTTTACTCTACTTCAGTGATGTATTTTCAGTCATCCACCATGGTGTTCCGTTTCTCTTTGTGGATGATAGTAAGATAGTTTATGAATTCTACCTCCAAAATCTTGCTACTACATTACAAAACATTAACAATGATCTAAAACGACTTGAAG